TACTTTTTGATGATGCTAACCAATTTCTACTGAACCAATTATTTAGCACAAGAAATTAAAAGTGATTTGGCAGGCTGGATGAAAGAAGACAACTGTTTCCAGTCTCTCAGGTGACTAGCTCTCCTCAGAAGAAGAGAAGAGCTAGAAGCTCTGTCAAGAGAGAAGCTAGAAGTCTGCACTGTTTGAAGGATAGCCTTGGGGGCCCTGGGCAGGGAGGGGACTGGCAAGCACATATACAGCAATTGTTTGACTGGTTCTACAGTTCATGAGAAGACTTTTGGTTTTTTTCCATTTTTATTCACTTGCTTATTTATTGGAGAAAGGGGGAATGCAGGAAAAGGTTTTTGCTCTGAGCCTCAAGGTCTACTAGATTGCCCCTTTGTAAAGTTCTTTCCTTCCAGGTGTTATCTTCTGGGAAGTTCTGCTGATATACCTCCTCACAGTCACTTACTTCACACATCACATCTAAGAAGGGATAATGGGACTAGAACTGTTACCACCCTTGTTGGATGATCAATCACTTATTTTGTGATCAGTGAACATCAAAAGAACAGGCCGGTCTAGAAACTGGTTTAACTACATCCAACAGGGAGTGTTCTTTCTTTTCCCATTTACACTAGCTAGGAAAATTTTGCATTCTCTCCCAAACAGAACCACTCACCCTCCCTCCTAGGTTCACTAATCTGGATTAGCTGAAACTGATTTTGGATGTGTTGGCAGCCAACTCCAGAAATGAAGACTGAGTCTCACAAGCCCTGAGAATAACTTAATGCCCTTCTCTTACATGGACAGGAGGGGGCCACTGCCCCAAGTGTGTTGTCTTAAAGCAAACTTAAAGACAGCTATGGACACAAGAGGGAGGAATAGCTCCAGTTCACAATGGGGAGAAGAGAGGATGAAAGAGGAAGGAGATTCTAGAGCAAAAAGTGTTCTATAGAAACTTCTTGTAAATGTTCCTGCAGGGAGAAGCTGTGCTGAAGCCAAAAAGATCATACCACCAAAATATCTGAGAACTACTAACAATTCATCCTGGCCAACTAGAGTTACAGTGGAAATTAGCATACTAAAGCTTCTCAAAATCCCACAGAGAAGAAAAACATTTCACAAACATAACTACAGGACCAGCATAAGTAGTAATTCACTTGCTTTTTGAATAGAACTATTCAAAATAGTAGTACTAGCCCTATGTRGCTACTTATGAGCATCTGAATTGTGGCTAATTTAAATTTAAATGAGCTATGAATGTAAAATACATACTGGATTTCAAAGGGTTAGTGCAAAAAAAGTAAAAATATCTCAATTTTTGTATTGGTTATATGTTGAAATAATGAATATATATGGGTTATAGTTATTAAAATCAATTTCATCTGTGTACTTTTTTAAAAGGTTAAATCTAAATTACATATATGGCTACCATTATATTTCTATTGGCTAGTGCTCATTTAGAAAATGCTAAGCTACAACACAAGGTTTAGAAAACTTTGGATATTTCTTTTCTTTTTTTCCCACCCCAAGAGATTTATTGTCAGTAGTATGGAGCAAAACGACAAGGCTCTCCCTCTRAGGAGAGCAGCCTGGATATTTCTTATTATCTTGATTTCTTTGCCATATTTGTTTTTCATCTGAAAGAGATGTACTATAGCACAGAACTTAGGAAGTATTTAAGACATGAAAAAAGCATCTGGACACATGACCAGGATTTATTGCAATACATAATTCCAAAGATATCAAGGAATGAGGGATGTGTTTCTTACAAAAGATGAACACTTTTCCCTTTTGTCAATAACCCCCAAGATATTTATTTAACAACAGAAAACTATTTTACTTTTCCTTTCACTCCACAGCTCAATCTGTAAAGCTATTCCTAAACATCATACTGAAGAATGAATACATTTATAGTGTTTCGGTTACTGAAATCACTATGTGCGCTCAGTATAGGTGAAGAAATAAGTCCTTTCAAGGCTTGATGACAAAGGTACTTACTGTTCAAGGCCTATTGTTATGTATTTATTGTTCAGTAGTAGATTCTAGTATTTTTCACTATGTAACTTAGAGCAAACCACTTCACCCCTATTACCTACAGATTGGCAATAGGAACATGAATGCCTACAGTGTTTTGAGAAACATGTGGCTCAGGCTGCATAAGTAAGACACTATTTACTCGACTTTCAACTCATAAGATAGTAGGCAAAATACAACCAGAGAACKAGCTGTGTGACTGAACAAATAACCCTCTACAGTTCTACTTCCTTAGTTGTACAATAGAAATAACATCTATCTTATGAGAAGGAATCTGATGAAAACAAAAGGAAAGCTGAATGCCCAGTGTGTTACTTAGCACTGAGGAAACACAAACTCCTCTCCAGACTCTGTTCTTTGGTCTCAGTCTTCACTACCCTAAAGTTAATAGCTGCACCAAAATTGACAGACTATATATTGTAAGTTGTTATAGCAGAAAGTTTTTTTAATATATATTTTTAATTTTAGGTGAACATAAAACCTTTATTTTAGTTTTTGTGTGGTGCCAAGGATCAAACCCAGTGCCTCATGCATACTAGGCAAGCACTCTACCACTGAGTCACAATCCCAGCCCATAAGCAAGAAAGATTTCTAAAAGCTCAGAAAATCTGTCAGACAATTACAGGAAGTGGGCTTTGCAAAACCCTCCTGGATATTCCTCGGAGTAGAGGTTCACTACTAACAGGTTTCCATTGTAAAGTGGCTATTGTGTCCAATTTCCTGGCACCTAAAAGACAGCAAGCTGGGGATGYCCACATACAAGGGCCAGTGATGGGTTTTTCAGGGTACCCAAGAATCCCCCAGTTCCAGCAGTTACTATCCTACATAGGAATGGCTCCACTGCACTGTGGTTTACCCTTTGAATATATATATATATATTTTTAATATGTTGCTGAGAATTGAATCCAGGGCCTCGCATGTACTAGGCAAGCACTCTATAGGTGAGCCACAACCCYAGCCATTAACCTTTGAATATTGAGGCTCCATTCCTGTGTCTTGCCCACACAAGGCCCTCAAATAAAATTTTCATTTGACATTAACAAAGATAGATGCTTCTCCTCCTTTAGATTGGTATCCCAATTTATTAGAAATATATTTTCATCCACCTCAGACCTGGGATCTCTTTGCTTTCTCCATTCTGTGGAATTTCTCTATATCCAATGACTGTCAGCYTCACAGAGTGAGCTAAGAGGATCAATTTTGAAAGATCTGGAATTATATATTATTTATTCTTAACTTTTTCTTTCAGAGTAGATGATTCTATTTTAATACCCTAAAGTTGCATAAGTAATGCAGGAGATATATATGCTTGGACTAAATAAGTATACAATAAACAAGAAGAGATACCTGGAAGAATTAATGTTTTAGATGGATTTCAAATGGATCATAGGCAACAAGAAATTTAGGCACTGGATATTTCAGCCTTGGCTTTTCAGAAAATGTCAATATTTCTCAGTATCTTATATTGTTGTTCTGGATTGTTTTGTTAGAGGGGTCTCACTACATTCCCCAAGCTGGTCTAGAACTCCTGAGCTTCAATGATCCTCAGGCCTCAGCCCCTCAAGTGGTAGTATTATAGCTGCACACCACCTGCCAGGCTTCTAAGTGTCTATATAAATCAACACGTCCATTACCAAGACATCTACCTCTGTACTACAGCGCCTAATGGGGTTAAAAAAGGTCAGAGATCTGAATCATCCAGACTCCCAATCTATGTGCAAAAGTATATGCAGGAGATAATGAACCCACTTTGGGGGACAGCTGGACAGAMTTCCCATATAAAAGCACCAGTTTCTTCTCTGTATCCCTAATGTGTCCTCTCTGTGCCCCTCATGGCCCAGATTCAATCACATTACATTTGTTCACATATTTCCCCCATCTAACTGGGTTCTTTGAAACCCAAGGACCAAGGACATTAACCAATACTCAGTAACATTTGTAGAAGTAGGAACATCTACTGGCCTGGAGCTAACTTTATGGAATTATGAAAAGCCACAGAGCTAACTTTATGGAATTATGAAAAGCCACAAGGTCCATCTTCCTGGAGATCAAGCTTAAAACGTTTTCTCACTAAAACTGTAAGATGAAGCAAATCCATATGGAGTTTAAAAAATAGTCTTTTAATAGTGGCAGGCTGGCAACTTCCAAATTCAGGACTGTGTCCCTGAATGCCAAGTATACAAGTGCCTTATTCTTTGTGGTAGAGGGACCCTGCCAAAGCTAAGATATCCAGGAATCTGGATTCTCCAAGTGCCTTAACTTTTAAGAAGCTGACAGCACTTTATCCAGGGGTCAAAGACCACAAATGCCACTTGTAGATGGGGGTGGGGCCCGCGGGTGAACTGGCTAATATTGCCCAAACTACTCAGAAAGTTAATGCTGAGTACAGGAAGAGAGCTCTCATCAAATGCTAGCCCAGAACATTACATAACTAAACTTTTTGAAAGGTGTTAAACTTAAAAGCCTACCTATGCTTCTTTGGGTCCTGGGACCCTTTGATCACTTCCTGGAACGGAGGCCATCACTAAAGACACCCTCTTTTAAGGCCTCTCTCCACAGCAGTAAGCCCTTAGGGGCACTACATAAACAGGAATCAGAAGCACCTCTCCTGGGCGCTATCCATGGGCACTTCCAGCGCACACCTGCAGCCTCCAGGAGGTCAGAACTCCGGATGGAGGTGCGGTTGCGCAACCACCACCTCAAACTCCCTCCAGAGAGGGCTCCCGCACTACAGCGAAAGGCTTCCAAAAGCCCAGAACTTTCTGAACTTTTCTCCACCCCCAACTTCAAGGCTCTTGGCCAACTCCGTCCAAGAGCAGGGCGAGTGGCAGGGCAAAYATCCTGAGAGGGAAGCTGGACTGCAGGACCGGCTCTCCAACTACAAGTGCCTCCGGGGCCGCTGAAGGACCGGGACTCTGGAGGGCCGAAGGACAGGGCACAGAGACACGTACTCCCCGCCCGGGGACAAGGTCCACACTCACCTTGGCCGACGTCTCCCCGAACAGAGGTCTGTTGTCCAGGCCACTGGTGCCGTAGGTCCTAGTAGGAAAGTCCTCCATTTTGGGGCTTCTTCACTCGTCCCGAGCCTCTCAAAAGCCAGCCCGCATGACTCGGTCCACGACTCCAAACACCTTCTCCTCAGGGCGCACGCATGGCGGCAAGCCCTGGCGTCCGGGAAGTCCCCGAGGAGGCGGGAGGGTAGCGCTCACTCCCGGGGGACGCGGCCGCGCCGCCCGAGCGCCGCTGTCCTCCTCATCCTGAGCAGCTGCCGCAGGAAGTGGGAGGAAACAAACACCGCTTGGCCGACTCTCCGCGGGACGCTCCGCCCGGGCAGCTCCCACTTCCCCAAATCTCGGCTCTCTGCCCCGGCGCCGCTCGCCGCCGGTTGCGGGCGGCAGGCGAGCCCGRCTCCCCGTCCCACCCAGCCCCGCGTCTCTACAGCTCCCGGGTTTTCCAGATGGTCTAGTCAGCGCGTCTACCTTCGTGCTCACGGGGGTAGTTCTCATGGGAGAGCGCTAGGAGCCCCTCAGCGAGCCCGCTGCGCCCCTCAGTCCCCRAGCGGCGAGAGGGGAAGTTGCCGAGCACAGCCGAGCGCTCCGCACACCCCTCCCGCAGCGCGAGGACTCGGGACGCGGCCGCGCCAAGCGACTGGGATCCCCTCGCCTGGGCGGCCGCTACCCGGGGCCGGCCGCGCGCGCCGCAGGAGCACCCGCCCGACCCCRCACACCGTAGCTGCCCTCCCGCGCCCGCAGGCCAAACCTCGGCGTCCCCGGTCCACGCCCCCGTCGGGATCCCGCGCCGCAGCTAGCAAGGAGGTGGACTGGCCGCGTGGGGGAGGAAGAGCCTTTCAGCGCGGCGGCGAGCGGACGCACCCGCCCAGCACAGCGCTGCGGGTCCGCTCTCAGCTTTCCCGGCTCGGACCCGCGGCCACTGTCGCAAACAGGCCCGGCCCGCCCCGTCCACGTCACCACCCAGGCGGCCAATCCCGCAGGCAGGGGCGCCGCATTGGCTGCGGAGCTTTATTTCTAGAGGTGCCAGTTTATCCTCCGCGGGGCGGCCAGTCTCCACGGCTACACATTTCTCAGCCTCTTAGTAATTAGCGTCAGCGCGATCCACGTGGGTGAAGCACGTTTCCGAAGATAGCCTGCATTTGGCAGCAAGCATCTTAAAAACAATCGGCCTGCTTTCACCACTCCAGACCGCGCAACTAACACAGTCATTGGCACTTTGTGTTGCTTGTATATTTGTCTTGCGTTATTCTGTGGAAAGGATTCTAGATTATTTCCAGAAACAGTCGGGAGGTAGTAGTGCTTTGACTGTCTGCTCATTCTGCCAGGGATAGTGGCTGACTGAGCATGTTTACTGCCACAGAGCCAGAGCTCCACSTTGTCAATATCTCCTTCGGTTCTTAGGCCATAGAGAATTGATCAGGCCCTTAAAAGTAACATAGCTTCGCTATACATTTGGAGTCATTTATAAATATTCAGAAACACAGCCATGCTGAATTCTCTGGACACTATACAATGCCTAGATTGAAAAGAGCTCTACAAATGTTTGTGTTTAGGGATAGTCTGAGTTGGAACATTGTAGCCACACACCACTTAGAATCAAAAGCCATGATTCCAATTTAGGACCAGGATGGACCAAGAACCACATAMAATTTGCAACCCTGAGTAGAATTAGGGATGAAGAATATCTGATCTATCAGTTACATATTTTACAAATGATTTGTTTGTTCAGTGCTTTTTGTCAAAAGAGCAATGCTACACAATCCTGCACTCCGTTCTATTAAAAGGTCGATTGGTTTTACCACTAATAATTTACATTTAGCCACAGTTAACAAAATACTTTTGAGAATCTGTTATATACCAGAAAAGTATCAGTTAGAATAATAAAGTGATCAAGATGGGTTTGAGCAATAATCCTGAAAGACACAATCTTGAATGCAGTAATCCCAAATGTTGAAATACAGAAAGATCAAAATCCCTAAAGTCTAAAATCCTGAAAGATCAAAATCCTGAAAATATAATTCTGGAAAAAAATAATTTTAAAAGTGAATTAAAATTTACATTTAGAAAAATTATTGGAGAAACAAAAAGAATAGAACACTTCATAGGCAAATTTACACAATAAAATAGGCAATGATAGCACACAGAATTTTTCAATTATATGCACTCTGGCTATCCTAACAATAAGCATATACTAATGACAGCTCCATGGGTACAGTTATAAGCAGACATATTCATAAAGAAATAGGTCAAAAAGCAAAATGTATAAGTATATATCGCTATTGTTAACAATTGTGTGCACCCAGCTTTATAACTGGTTATCTGAAATACCTCGTTAGACAACCTACATCTTTTATTTATTTTTAATTAATTTTTTATTTATATATGACAGAGGAATGCATCACAATTCATATTACACATATACAGCACATTTTTTTCATATCTCTGAATAACCTACTTATTTTAATGGGGTCAATCAATCATCGATTGTGTATGCAATTATTCAAAGACYCGAGATTTCAAGAATTTTATCTTTCACAAAAAATACAGATGTTCAAAAAGAAATATCTTCATTTATCAGGAAGTTTCAATATTGTAACAGTGCATTTGTTACTGAAAAATGCATAATATCTCTAAAATTCTTTATACTCTTTAATCCTCCAACATTGACAATGATGTGAAAATGAAATACAGAACATAGCGAATTACAAAAGCAAATAATGCTGACAATTTTTTAAGTGGGTAAAGTTTTAAGCCAAAAAGAAAATTCAAATTATGAGAAAGTATATTACAGAGGAAAACTATGGGCAATTGCATGGACATGGTCCCTAAGAACTGGCCAACTTTCACAATCATTAACTATGTTTTGAAGTCTCGCCCCTCAGTGAATAGCTGGTTGTTGRTTTTTGCTTCCTCTTGTTTTGTTTCCTTTTATGGCATGGCTGTTCTCAAAGAATGCATTCACATTCATTTCCTATGTGATGCTGCTCTTTTTGAAATTCTTCTGTGATTTGACATACACCAACTTGAGCATTTCCTATAAAAATTCTCTCTTCAGTCACATACAGGCCTCAACCTTGGTGGAAATAATTTTGGTGATTGAATAGCAATAAATACTACTGTATAAGTGTCTTCTTCTACTCTGCACTTAATAATTTTCAAACCACTCAGTAATTTCTCCTGCCACTTCAATTCATTAAAAGCTCCTAGAATTTTATCACCTGAAAGGAATTATTCACAGAAACAGTCGGGAGGTGTTAGTGCTAGGTATTTCTTTGACTGTCTGCTCAYTCTGTCAGGGATGGTGGCTGACTGAGCAACGCAGAAAAAGAACTAATTTTTTTTAAACTGAAATTTTCATCATTGCCATACACATGCCCTATCTATTCCCCAGAACTCAGTTTTCTAGCCCTCTTACATAGCCCTTTTGGGGGAGAATTGCAGTTTTCAGGATTTCAGGTCTCAGAATTTCAACATTTGGGATTTTAATTCTTTGAGATTGTGGTTTGGGGGATTATAAGCTTTTGGGATTTTGATCATTTGGGATGATCATGTTTGGGATGGTGTCTTTTGGGATTATGATCAACCCTGGGTCAAAACTCAGGCATAGTCTTAGTCTTGAAACTGGAGTGGAAAATAGAGACATAATTACAATTYAGAGAAAGAAGGTGTGGCACCTAAGAACACAAGCTTTGAACTTGATCATATCGGTCCTCTAACCCTGATGCCACCATCTACAAGCTATGGGATCCTAGGCAAGTTATCTAACCTCTTCTGGGATCCTTTATATGTAAAAAGTAAAAATTACAATAATAAATAGCACTATAAATATCTAATATCAATTCTTTTTAAAGAAAATATTTAATAGTGGATATACAAAATACCAACAAGTAGTAAGTATCCAAGTGGTGRTTATCAAAGATGATGACAAGTGCTGTAAACTGGACACTAGTTAACTAGCTTCAGGAGGCAGGGAAAGCTTATTTGAGGAAAATTAAATCAAGATCCACAAAAAARAGGATGAGTTAGCCAAGACGAGGAAGAGAGGTAAGAAACCAGGCCGCAGAGGCCAAAGCCTCATGCAGGGTGTATTTGAGTGGGAAGGCTGAATCAGAGGTAATGGTCCTACTCTTGAGCTGCTTATGCTGTATGTCATCAGTTTTCTATGTCTCTACTTCATTTTTCCCTTTAAAATGCAGCTTCTTCATGATTACTACTCCTCCCAAACTTCTACTTACATACGGTTTTAGCTTGKTTTTTTTTTWAATATTTATTTATTTTTTTTAGTTGGTGGACACAACATCTTTGTTGGTATGTGGTGCTGAGGATCGAACCTGGGCCGCACGCATGCCAGGCTAGCGCGCTACCGCTTGAGCCACATCCCCAGCCCCCGGTTTTAGCTTGTTTTGGTACTAAGCTTGGATAAAATGGACCTTACAGCTCCAGTGCCTGCTACTGCTTGGAAGCCTCAGTTTCTGTTTTTCTATACAGATTACCATTCCCTTGAAGACTTTTATTTATTTATTTATTTATCATCTGTATTGGGGATTGAACCCAGAACCTTAAGCATGGTAAGCAAGTGCTCTACACAGTACATCCCCAGCCCTTCCCTGTGAGGAGCAGTGACCTGAACCATCAGCTCTGATTGCCTCGTGGCTGCTGGGAACTTCCTGTGCAAAGTTGTAGGTTAAAATGGCCCAGTTGCTATGGTAACACAGGCCCACGTGTGCAAAGGCATGTATCAGTCCAGACCTTGAGCTCAGGCACCAGCTCCTAGRGATAGAGAATTCTGAACATAGCAAGATAACCCTAATGTTTCACCAGTCCTGAGTCCTTCAGACTACCTTCTTTGCTGAAATTGTCCCACAAATAATCTTTTGATGAAACCTTATACATATGCAGAGCCAGCTCTGGGTCACTGCTTCTCCATCAGCGGTCAGTGCCCACCTGGCCCCAGCTTTTTTTCTATGTGTGTCTGTCTTTTCTTCATCCCCCATAGCCCCTCATTGTCTTTTCCTGAATTAATGGCCAGCCATGGCTGAGAGATGAGGCCACAGCATGAGGAATTTTGATTGGCTCTGTCCAGACTGTGGATTGATTTCCAGTTGCATTAAACCCTCCATTCAGCCAGTCAATAGGAAGGGCCAGGTGGAACTAGTATGTTCCGAGTCCACCCTGGGTGTCATGGAGGATTGTTCAAAAGAGGAGAGTATGCATGGAAGTCAATGACAGGATTATCAAGTGCCTTGACACTCAAAGAGTAGCTCTCCTGACCAGCAGCATTGCCCCATCTGGTAACTTGTTAGAAATGCAAAATTTCAAGCCTCAACTCAGCTCTACTAAATCACAATCTACACTTGTTAAGTCCACACAAAGGATTCAGATATTGAAGTTTGAAAAGTGCTCATTTCATATACATYTACTTTTAAAAATGGAGTAGTGCCATATAGTTAGTTGACCCTCTTGATACCATGGCTTCTCAATTCTTGATCTTCATTCTTATTCAACCACTTATTCCTAGTGTACATTCTGAACTTTGTCAATACCCAGAATTTCACGTTGTCTGAAATAAGTACAGACTGACGATTTGGTAAGCCTCACCCACTAGTCCTTCCCATTCTCTCACTCATGGGCAATATATCAATCCTTTGGTCATTGTAGTATCTCTGATCTTTTGGTCTCTTGACTTTAACCTGGTGGATATTCTTCCTATTTTCACTTTCTTCTAATTTAGATTCTGTATTCTACTACTGACGTTACTCTTTGAGTAATATCTTCAGTTCCCTTGCACTATTTATTTTATTATACTCATGCAGAAATTTCCCTGAGATATTCATTAGTCTGCCTGTTTCCTCAGCTTTTGTGACCCAATTCTAATGCAGCTAGATGGCAGGGGAGGGGAATTATAAAGGCCCCTG